CCTGTGCTGATTGTCCGGGTGTTGGATGTAGTTTTTCCCAGCCTCACCTGCTGCTTCCTGTCTGTCAGAAAGCTAGTAATCCACATACACAAACTACATTTTCCAATGTCCAGCACAATGTAGGCCAACTGGCTAGCTACACTGAATTCTAAAAGTGTTGGGTTCAATCCTCAGTGCATCAGTAAACCTGTGTAACACACTGTGCTGTCTGTCACTGTTACATTGTTCTGTATGGTACTGCAGGATTTAGCAACACTGATGGATTACTATGTATGCAGTACTTTCATGTTGTAACTGGTAGAGGTGAAGCTACTATTAATATATCCTGCATAGGAAATATAGTATATTATTCATATTCTGTTGGAAGGGCAGGATGGTGGCACAGTGGTTAGCACAACCATCTCATAGCAAGAAGGCTCTGGGATTGAGCCTTGGTCAAGCCGGGACCTTTCTGTGTGGAGTCTGCATGTTCTCCTATGGTAGGTAGATATACCTAGTAAAGTAAGACTATTTTTTTATTTGAAAAGCACATTTTATGTTTTGTGTCTGTGTCTTAGGAGAACAAATTTAATAAAAAAAACATGGTGACACAGTGGTTAGTGCTGTCACCTCACAGCAAGAAGGTTCTGGGGTCAAGCCTCAGATGATCCTTTCTCTAGGTTATTATATCCATGATGTCAAGGAAGGATGAAAACATGAAATGTAACCTCCTGAATCTGTAACTGGGTGAAACCATTTCACTGACAGACTGAGGAATGTACCTACAACTTTAAAACATCTATGCAGCCACCCAGCACTTTCAGCTATGTATGTACTGTGGCTGACTGAATCAGGTCTGAACCCACAACCTCACCGAAGTGAAAAACTTACTAAGCAGTTCAAGCACCTGGTCCAGGCCCCAGAATACGTATTTTGAGAAGTACTAGAAATAAAAAAAATAACACAATGTGCATCTCAGTGTCCTCTAGATACACCATCAAACTGAAAATAGACATAAACCTAACTGTGCTGTCTCATTAATACACAAAAATTCGAAAACCATATTGGGGCCTAGGCCAATGAATTAACAAAACCTTAAACTCTTAAAGCTTCTTAATCATATTTTCTTTGAAGTGTTGTTAGAGCAAATACATGACGTAACATCAGTCATGCACTGACTTATGCAACTTTGCACATAGACACACAGAGTAATGCCTCTGAGATCAAATTACATTTTCTCACTGAACAGCAAAACAAACCTGCAAGGTACATCTCATTAGTCAGTTTGCTGCTTTTGGGATGACTACAAAGTAGCACCTCTAACCCACTGAGGCCACAGGCCAATCTAAGGTGTTAAAAAATAAAGTGCAATGATGCAACAATGGGATGAAAACAGGGAAACAAATCATGTAGCTACTTTTCATGTGCTTGTTCAAACTAAGGAAATTGCCTCAAAGTTTGGAATGGCAGTTCACTTGAATTTAGATTTACAGACACAAATCAAACTGAAGGAAATTCTGTGTTTAAATATTCCTGGATAAACATTCAAATGCCCAGTATCTACAGAACATGATGTCTATTATAATGTCATGTCTATGATCAGAGTCCTCACTAGTAAAAATTACACTCAGTAAATATGTCATCACTTGGCTCACTGCAGAGCTGCTGTCTCAGACCAAAACTCTTCACCCTGTACATCCACAACTGTGTCTCCAACCATGACAGCACCATCATCATTAAATATGCTGATGACACGACCATTCTGGGCCTCATCAAGGGGAGAGACAAGTTGGGTTACAGAAGCTTGGTGAATGACATTCTTGTTTATGGAGACCTCATCCTCATCCTCAACATAAACAAGACAAAAGAAATAATAGTAGACTTCAGGAAGAACCCCTCCCCTCTGCTGCCTCTGACCATCAAAGGGACTGAGTTGGAGAGGGCTGACAGCCAGAAGTTCCTGGGCCTGCAGGTGACATCTGACCTGAGCTGGTCACTGAACACAGCTGCCACAGTGAAGAAAGCCCAGCAGCAGCTATACTTCATCAGGCAGCTCAGAAAACCTGGGCTGAAGGTTACCCTCTCACCCAGGCTTATAGAGGGCTGGTAGAGAGCATCCTCACTACTGGCATCACAGTCTGGTATGGTAACACCACACAGGCAGAGAGGAAGGCTTTTCAAAGGGTCATAAAGACTGCAGAGGGGATCTTTGGAACTGAACTGCCTGCTACAGACACACTACTACACATAGCGCTGTTGTAAAAGGGCAGAGAACATAATCAGGGATCCACGCCACCTAGCTTACACTCACACTCTGCTCAAACACAAAAGCTGCACCTACAGCCTCAGGCACAGCAGGGCGGACAGTATCATCACACACAGAACAAGATTTTACAACAGCTTTTTCCCTGCCACAGTAAGACTGATGGCAAATATGAAAATGTGAGAATATATGTGCAATAACCACTCATTACCCTACTAAGTAGAAGACCATATCAAACTCCACCATGTGTATTACTAAGTGCGATGTTTGAAGTTCACTGTATTGTGTTTTAATACTTTGTCGCCCTGATGTAACTTTATTTTAAGACTAAGTGTTCTTTCTGGCTTTTGACTTCTTACCTGACTCCAAAGGAGAACTGCACAAGAATTCTATATGCCTAGACTGTCTGTTTATGCATAAATGGCAAATAAAAATCTTGAATCTTAATCTAGTGCAGTGCAGTCGGCAGGTCTTTCAAGTGTCCACTGGTTGGGATAGATACGGTCTCATCCCCAGTAACTGGCTGATTATAATTTTATTTCACAAATCCTATTGTTATTACTCTTCTAGGTCAGCTCCTCAAAAGTGCAGTTTGAACATATATGAACTGACCTTCCAATATCTGAGCTGGCAGGAGAAGATGTTAGATGGTCCTTGGCTTTCAAAAAGCAGTCTAACTTGTCTTCTATGATGCTGGGCTACAGTAAACACATGATGGAGGAGGGCCTTGCAGAATGAAGCCAGAAGGCCACAGCACAAACAGCACTGCCACCTCCTGAGAACTGAGGAGTTTAAAGCCAGTCTCTTTCTGCTGCTTCTCATCCAGTCAGGAGGTCTGTGGGTGTCTAAAGTCAGAATCACACACAGCCAAAACCTTGGTTTGAACTTGTCAGCTGACTGGGGACTTTCATTGTGAAGTTTGCATGTTCGCCCCATACCCATCCATCCATCCATCTTTCTCTGCTTATCCGGAACTGGGTTGCGGGCGCAGCAGTCTAAACAGATGCCCAGACTTCCCTCTCCTTAGACACTTCCTCCAACTCCTCCGGGTGGATATTGAGGCATTACCAGGCCAGCCGAGAGACATGGTCTCTCCAGCATGTCCTGGGTCTTCCCCGGGGCCTCCTCCCGGTGGGACATGCCTGGAACACCCCCCTAGGAAGGTGCCCAGGAGGCATCCAAAACAGATGCCCGAGCCACCTCAGCTGGCTCCTCTCGATGTGGAGGAGCAGCAGTTCTACTCTGAGCTCCTCCCAGGTGACTGAGCTCCTCACCCTATCTCTAAGGGAGCACCCCTTCCCTTCGTCCCATACCTGCATGGGTAATTATGAAGCTACAGCCTACAGGTGATTACTTAGCTTAAATTAATATAGAGACTTGGAACAGGGTGAAATAGGTAACCTGGTTTGATCCAAATGTATCATCATCATCACTATTAAATAGTCTTATCTAATCACAAAAAGCAAACTATAATAAGAATCTATTCAGGATATGATGGCTGATTTTCAAGCTTGCTGTTTCCCCATTTCCAAACTTTGTGCTAAGCAAAGCCAACTGGCTGCTTACATACATTCAACAGAGATAAAATCTTTTTAACTCTTACAGAGAAAGTGCCTAACTGTACTTCCTAAAATGTGGAAGTAATTCTATAAGGACATCTCTGGGTTGTCAGATTAGGATTGGAAAACTGGTTATGTATGGAGGACAGGGACAAGGCCTGTGGACTGTCAGACTGGGGTCGTGGTCCCCATATTTAAAAAGTGAATGTGTGCAAATTACTGAGGTGTCACACTCCCTTGGAAAGCTTACGTCAGGGTATGGCAAAGGAGTGACTTTGTTATGGTTAGTCCCCCTCACCAGGAGGGTGAGGGAGAACTATGGTAGGACTCAAGACTGCTGACCCAGGTGCTAGTAAAAAAAAGGAGGTTTAATGGAACAAAACACAAAGCAACAACATAAGGGCCGTGAACATATATAAACAGCAAAGTGGGGCAGAGATGGTGGAGGAGACCGGGATGACCAGGGGAGCAGACAGGCTAATGGCAGAAACCAGGAGAGTGGGAGGAACAGGATGAATAGGTGAATAGACAAACTGAACTAGGAGGATAGGCGAACGAAAATGGAAATCCACAGCACAGGAACTGTCAGCGTGGATAACAAAAAGTAACGTCTGGCTAACCTCATGGACAAAAAAACAAACAAAGCGGTCCACAGCACAGGAACTGTCAGCGTGGAAAACAAAATACGTCTTATACACACCACGAAAAAAGGGGCCGTTACGGGGTATGCACGTTACAATAGTTAATGCTCTGACGACAACGGCGCGTCCAAAAATGCGACACAGCTGAGGCGCTGATCCCGCAAAAAGAGCGAGCAGGAGAGAGAAAGGCAGAAGAGAGGCAGGTCGCGCCGAGCGGACCTGACAGACTTGCTACTCCAAAGGAATTTAAAATGGTAAATGGACTGCACTTACTGTATATAGCGCTTTTCTACCTTACTTGGACAAAGCTCTTTACAAATTTAACCATCCACCCATTCACACACACCCCAATGGTGGCGGAGTTCCCATGCAAGGCACTGGCCTGACCACCGGGAGAAACTTGGGATTCAGTGTCTTGCCCAAGGACACTTCAACATACTCAACATGTGGACTGGGGAGAACTGGAATCAAAATGCCAACCCTGCGATCAGAGGTCTTGCCAGCCAGTAGGCAAAGCTTTCAATTTACCAGTCTAAGCTCCAGCTCTTGAGCATGGTCATGAGTTTTGGGTATATACAACTTTTTTACAGAAAAAATGAAATCATAAATGCAAGTGCCCAAAATGAGTATCATTCATAGGGTGACTGGACTCAGAGATAGGCTGTGGAGTTCGGACATCCAGCAGGAACTCGAATTACAGCCAGTGCTCCATTGTGTCACAAGGACTCAGTTGAGGTGGTTTGGGAATCTGATTAGGATGCCTCATGGGCGGCTTCTGCCAGAGGCTTTTAACCCAAGTCCAACAGGTAGGAGGCCCCATGGAAGACCCAGAACATGCTGGAAGGATTACAGACCTAATCTACCCTGGGAACACCTCAAGGCCTATCAGGATGAGCTGGAAAGTATTGCTTAGTAAATGGATGCCTTAACTGCCTGGATAAACCGGCTGCCCCTGCAACCTAAACCCTAACAAACCGATAGTAATGGATGAATGACTTCTCCTAGTATAAGTTGCTGTTGATTTTTAGGTTGCTCTTAAGGGAGACATCCAAAACCCTTTATGAAAGACTTAGTAATAATTACAAGGCGAAACTGATTATTTTGATAACAGCAATAAATCATATCTGAGTAACATTAACTTGTTGTGTTTGCGCCACTTTGTTAGTTTCCACTGGCTGTGGAGGCGATCCTTCATGATGGACTAAAGAGAAAAAGTATTGAAACAGGTGTAACAGGAATATAAACCAGCTAAAAAGATTTTGAATGAACTGGTAACCTAAAAGTTTTTCTTATTATCCATAATTATTTATTTATGATGAGCTGCTTAACAACCCACTGGATAAACTTTTAAAGTATGGTACATGAAATTTATTTATGAACAAAAACTAAATACAAATGTGAACAATAACAGAAGAAAAGAAAAAGCAATGGGGCTGATGACATAATGATGAGGACAATGAGGGACAGAGCTTACATCATTTCTTAGAGTTCTTGAAAAAGTAAGTTGGTGGTGTAACAAGAAGATAACTGTTTGGAAGTGAATATAATTAACTGTCTTGAAGCCACCTCATCACTGCTCCTCTCCTCCCTGGACGACATGGACGACACTGGGGGCTCTGAGCTCTGCTTCCCCAACCTCAACTCCTCCTGCAGGCGTCTGATACGACCACGCTCTGAGACTGTTCTACTCTACACTCTGCTTACATCTGTCTCTCTGCTCACTGTGACACTCAATTTGCTCGTCATCATCTCTATCTCTCACTTCTGGCAGCTCCACACACCAACTAACATTCTTCTCAGGTCTCTGGCTGTGTGTGACTTGGGACTGGGGCTGGTGGTGATGCCTGTGGAAGGCATTCGCTATATTGAAACATGCTGGTTGCTGGGGAGGATAATGTGTGCTCTGTCTCCTTATGTTTTTTATTGTTTCATCTCAAGCTCTTTGGGCCACATGGTGCTCATATCTATAGATCGTTATCTGGCTATCTGTGACCCACTGATCTACTCCTCTAGGGTCACAATGACAAATGTTAAAATCTGTATCTGTCTCTGTTGGACCTGTTCAGTTACTTACAACGGGTTAATTCTAATGGACCACATAGGGCAGCCTGACAGATTCAGTTCCTGTCATGGAGAGTGTGTGGTGGTTGTCAACCAGATTTCAGGAACTATTGACATGTTCATGACCTTTATTGGGCCTTGTACTGTCATGGCTGTGCTGTATATCAGGGTGTTTGTGGCTGCCCTTTCTCAGATGCGTGTAATTCAGTCACAGGCTGCTGCTACCAAGGCCAGGGCAGCTCCAACTGCTAGGAAATCACAGCCCAAGGCAGCCAGGACTCTGGGGATTCTGATAGTTGTGTTTCTGATGTGTTACTGTCCATACTACTATCCCATACTTGCAGGTGAAAACACCTCCACTAGCTTACCTTATTTTGTCATATTGTTGTGGATAATGTTAGTCAACTCTTGTCTAAACCCTCTGATTTATGCCATTTTCTACCCCTGGTTTAGAAAAGCTATCAAACTCATCATCACACTCAGAATACTGCAGGATAACTCCCGGGAGGTCAAGATCCTGTAGACAGGGCTGGAAGTATCAGTTAATGGTTATTTTACACTGTTTTAGAAACACTGTGTCACCTCTGAGCAGACTGTTCTGCTACAGCACCACACAGACCATCGACAGTGGCCTCAGGCACAGAGTTTCTCATATTCTGTCAAGCAGCCATGTTGTAAACTATTTATTTTCATAAATACAAACCTCAGTGCTGAGTGAAGCACATTAACCTGGGCTGATGAGACTTGTCACTGTAAATGTTGGTCTGTAGATATGAAATAAAACACTGTGCAGTGCATTTCTGGTGGCAGTAAAAATATTATTAGACAAAAATATTAAGATAAATGCAAATGTCATCATGATAGATAGGGTGAATCTGCTTTTAAGGAACTCTCATTTAGTTTTGTCTTGTGCCAGACTGTCAGAAAGTCCTAAATATTATAAAAAAGTGAAAATGTTTAATGCATTTCAATATATATGATTAAAACCAAAATGTATTAAAACATATGAAAATCTTATCAAGATCTTTAAATAATATACACTTGTTGATTGTGTTACAGAATAAGAAATGTAAACAATCTAACTGAAGTAACTAGTAAGTAGAAGTCTTTTCTGCTCTGATATGTCTGTGTAACTGTTACTCAGCATTTGTATTTTAATCATTAAAGATGAAGTAGTTTTAGAAAGTTTTGGTCTTATATCAATATAAAACTTTATCACTATATCTGAAAGCACTGCTGTCCTAAATAAACTATGCTCAAGTTATATTCAACAAGTCAAAATATTCTTGGGTCAGGGTATTAAACCTTTGTCATCCTCCTTCACAAACATTGTTTGAACATATATGAATTGACCTTTTCATCCCAGAGGTGACAGAGGATTATGTTTTGATGGTCCTTGGTCTTCAAGAAGAAGTACAGCTTTTCTGCCATGTTGCTGGGCTGCAGTAAAGACATGATGAAGAAGGGTTTTGCAGGATGAAGCCAGAAGGCCGCAGCACAATCAGCACTGCCGCCTCCTGAGAACAGAGGAGTTTGGACCCGATCTCTTCTGCTGCTTCTCATCCAGTCTGGAGGTCTCAGGGTGTCACACACAAAACTAAATATACTAAAACGAGACATACTTTATAAAGGTTTTATAAGATGAACCAAATAATTACTTCAGAGTTTAGACAAATCTGGTGAGTCCAGTGTAGCTGGAACCAGTTTATTTCACATCCAGTCACCTTTTGCCATTTAATACAACTTCTTCATCTGAGGATCTTTTGCCCTGTCAGCATTTGAATGTCTTATGACAGGGGACTTTATAAGTCATTTCTAAGTACTTAAAATTTTGTATTATTTCAGTCAGCAATAAATCATGACTATTTAAACAATAGTTCAAAGTGTAGAAAAATATGTTTGTTTACTTTCATGTCAGGAGTTGGTTCCCTGATAGACTAGTGGTTAGGGTATAGCATTCTCACTGCTGTGACCTGGGTTTGAGTCAGGATTGCGTCTGGAAGGGCATCTGGCGTAAAACGTGTGCCAAATGTCAACATGCTGTGGCGACCCCTGACGGAAAAAAGCTGAAAGTGACATTCATTCATTCACTTTCATGTCAGAAGTTAGATGAGGAGACTGACATAACTCCTACATCAGTACAGTACTGTCATGATTCAGTCCCGCTGGCTTGCGGTATCATTATTTATTTTGTTATCATTTCTTGTCTCAGTCTCACCCCGCATATGGACTCTTTACACTAATCAACACTCATTGTTTTCACCCCATTATAAGCAGTTTTCCCCCACTGCCAGCTGCCAGATTGTTCTTGACTCCTGTTCAGACTTTCCAGCGTTATTCTTTTTACCTGTGATTCCTGTTTTGACCCCGGATTGCTTTGGCCACCGAGTACTGCCTTGCCCTCTGGATTTTGATAGTGTTCTTTGTATTGACCTTTGAACTTCCCTCTCTGACCTCTCATTTTTGGATCCCTTGGCTGTGTGAGTTTGCTGGCACTGACCCTGGACTGTTATCTACCTTGATTGTGTTTCCAGACTACTGCATTGTGTGCTATTTACTGTTATCAGCAAAGAGAAAGCTATCTGCTCAATCTTGTCTGGTGTTTTAATTGACTTCACCTCAGACAATACAGGCAACCTTACATGCCAGCCCTGACAGTACTGTACAATCTGGCACCAACATGAACTCAGCCAATGAGCAGAACAGTGACTGGCGGGTCAGCATGGAACGGGCCTTGGCTTTCCAGGGAACGGCTCTGAGTGAGATTCAGACAGAGCTGCACTTGGGTCACGAGGACGCTGGAAGGCGGTGTCGCTGGGGCATGTGTTTCCCTAGCCCCAGCAGTGCAGGAGCCTAAGCTTTCTCCGCCACAAATGAACGGGAAGGGCTAAAGCAGCCTACACCGTGTTGCTACTGATCGGGAGGGTCAGGAAATGGGGCACCGCTGAATGGACAGCGAGAACGGACTGCTGCATCTCCTTTGCTGACTTTGGAACTGAACTCACCCGGGTGTTTGATTCTTCATGTTACGACTCGGCCGCTTCTCCTTCACTAATGACGCTGTCACACGGTTCCAGTTCTGCAGTGGAGTATATTATAGACTTTTGCATGGCAGCTGCTGCCAGTGACTGGAATGAGCCAGCATTAGTGGACGCTTTCTACCACGGATTATCAAACACCCTGACTGCCTACGACCAACCAAAAAGACTGCGGCCGCTAATGGGCCTGGTCACACGCCTGGATGGGAGATACAGGGAGCGCCAGGCAGAATGCCACTGGGGACCATCGCATGTCAGTCCTGGTATCTTGTCGGGTTCTCCGGAGCCTATGCAGCTTGGGAAGTCAAGATTAACCCCGGAGGAATGAGAGTGCAGGTTCAAACTTAATTTATGCTTGTATTGTGGGGGTCCAGGACACCGAGCTTTTTCATGTCTCTTAAAAGGACAAGGCTCAGCGTGAAGGGGAGGGCCCTACTGAGCTGTACTGTGACAGGTTTAACCCCCTCTGGTCTGATTGTACAGGCTCTTCTTTCTGTTGACACACATGATGTTAAAGTACAAGTTCATTGATTCTGGTTCTGACGCTTGTTTTATGGACCCAGCATTCAAAAATATCAGATCCTTCTCTGTGCTGTTAATCCTGTGCTACTGGTTCATTCACTTAATGACAAACTTCTGCACCATGTTACATCTCAGTCTGTGCCACTCACTCTGACTATTGAGAACCACGTAGAAACAATACAGTTTCTCGTCATGCGTTCACCACATCATGAGGTGGTGTTAGGATACCCCTGGTTGATAAAACACAGGGCCAAGATTGAATGGGGGAAAGGGTGAGTGGTTGAGTGGTCAACACAGTGTGCACAGACTTGTCTACAATCCCCTGTCAGACAGCGAATTGACAAAGCAGAGGTTTTAGGGGTTATCCCAGAGCTTGACAAGGTACCATCTGAATATCACGATTTATAACAAGGGTTTAACAAAACCAGAGCCACTTCCTTGCCTCTGCATAGACCGTATGACTGTTCTATTGACCAGATACTCTGCCCCCTAGGAGACATCTGTTTCCTTTATCTGTTCCTGAACAAGAAGCCATGACAGATTATATTACAGAGGCTCAGAGGGCAGGGTTGATTCATCCCTCATCCTCCCCAGCTGGGGTGGGGTTTTTCTTAGTAGGGAAAAAGGACAGTGGACTTAGACCCTGCATAGACTACCGGGGGTTAAACAAGATCACCGTTAAGAATAAATACCCTCTGCCTCTCATGTCTTCTGCTTTCGAACTGCTCCATGATGCACAGATATTCACTAAGCTGGACCTCAGAAACGCATATCACCAGGTACGCATAAAGGAGGGCGATGAGTGAAAGACCGCTTTCAATACCCCTTCAGGACATTATGAATATCTGATCATGCCGTTGGGGCTTACTAATGCACCAGCAGGTTTTTCAAAACCTGATTAACGATGTATTGGGAAATATGTTAAATAAGTTTGTTTTTGTTTATCTGGAAGACATTCTTATTTTTCCACCCTCTGAGTCCAAACATGTCACTCATGTTAGAGCAGTATTATAGTGCTTACTACAGAACAACCTTTATGTTAAAGCTGAGAATGTCTCGACTGTGTCTTTCCTGGGGTTTGTAATCTCCACAGGTCACATCCAGATGGATCCTGCCAAGGTCCAAGCAGTGACAGCAGGGCCCACACCCACTTTCCATCAGCAAGCACAACAATTCCTGGGGGTCACTAACTTCGGCAGAAATTTCATCAAAGACTACAGTACCATTGCTGCTCCCCTCCACAGACTCACATCCACTACTAAACGCTTCACCTGGGACCCTTTGGCTGATGAGGCTTTCTTGGCCCTTAAGCAACGCTTCTGTTCTGCCCCTATCCTCACCCTGCCTGACCCGAAGAAACAGGTTGTTGTGGAGGTCGACGCATCGGACTCCGGGGTAGGGACGGTACTGTCCCAGCACTTGGCTCAGGATGGGAAATTACACCTGTTGGACCCAGTTCTTTTCACCACATTAACTCTGAGAGACAAAGCAGTCCGAGTAACTTCAAAACAGTGCTGATTTATTCAATGAACACAGGTAAAATTAACATTACACGCCCAGGAGTCTTTGCACCTCCAACATGCACGCAGGCAGCTGGTAGATGAAAAGCCCTGAACCATAACAGGCCTATACATTATATCACTTTGGGCTAGCCCCATACTACTCAGGGACGCCAAACCGTGACATCTCCGGTGCCAGCTGTGCAGCTGGCCATAGCAGTAGTCAAAGCATGAAGAAAATCGATGTGTGATTGTCTGTTGATTGTGTGGTGTGTATCTAAAACATTCTGACATGACATCTAGTGACATGTCATGACACTAAGCATAAGAAAATATTATGATTAAACACGTCATAATAATAATACTACTAAACATTCTGTCTCCTAACAGTAATCAAATTTCTATCTAGTTATCCTTGAACATGAACAACCTGGAGTACCCTATGGGAATGACTAAGCATTTAAAAGCCTGAGCTAGACATCCTGTCTACACTAAACATTTCTAATACATGAAGTGTCTAACCAATATCTATCTGACTAAAAATACCT